ATGATAAATTTAAATAACTATTGCCGTTTCACAGTTGTACTTTTAATTTTTAGTTTTAACTAAATTTTAATTTTTACTTCTTATACGGAAAAATAGTAAAAAATAATTTTAATAAAATAAATTAAGCCTTCAATAATACGATGTATTTTAATATTTAGACACTAGAACACTTACGTAATTGACATATTCAAAATTTACCAACGTCTATTTTTTATTTTATAACATATTGTATTAATATAATGTTATTATCATTATTTAACTTTTATTTTTATAGTTATTTTATACTATTTTGGTTTGATAAAAACAATTTTTTAATGAGTAATTACTTTTATTTAGTAAGATGCTCAAAAAATTTAAAAGAAATTTATCGTCATTGAAGAAATATTATATCAGATTACACAAATAAGGCATGTAACTTTTTTAAAATAATTTCATAAATTTTTGTTATTAATTTACTTTAACATGTATTTTAATATCTGCTTTGCGTTATTAAAATTTATCGAATTTTTTTGCAATGCAATCTTTCGCGGATTTCTATTAGAAAGCAGAAAACTCCTCTTACCGTTTGAAATTCTTTGTGCAAGAGCGGGGTGTTATTTGACTTTTACTCTGCAGAGACTGCACGATTACATTATCAAATGATCATTAACGTTACGAATCAATATATTAAATCAGGTAGCGTTTGAGTAAATTGAAAAATTCTCGCATTTCTTATTCAAGATAATGATAAAATATTTCGCTGAAATTGATTTTTACAAAAATCAACTGTTTGTGTTACTTCAGAGCCAAATGTTACTGATAGAATATGAAGGAAAAAATAACATATATAATTTTTACATTGCGAAACATTTCGTATATCGATGAAATTATACTAATTCATTATGTAAGCATAACATTAAAAACTTATACACGAATACACGAAAATAAATAATTTTTCAAATATTTTATTGCATGCAAAATAAAATTTTATTTTCTTTTAATGTCATTTAAATTTATTTGTGGGTCAAAATTTTTTCCATAAAAAAAATGTATTTTATTTTTTATGGGCATATTAAATATTTTGGTATAGAATAATTAAATAAAGCATTTTTCTTTCATGCATATGTATTTTAAGAATAACAATAATTATCATATGTATTAACATCCACATTCAATCTTATTATAATTATGCTATTTATTATACTAAATTACTATAAATTGAAAAATGTGTTATGTCCATATTCAAAATTATGTACCGCAAACTAAACATCATGCAAGCATTTATAGTATTAAGCAAGTAATCTATAAAATTTTACATAAGCGTAATATTAAAATAATAAAATGACGCAATTTTATAGATATTTGTAATACTTTAGAGAATTAATACATTATTTATACATTTGCTTACATTATGCTCTCAATGTGTTTAAGTTTTAATTTTATCAAGTGTCATAATCGCAGTTTCTATCTTTAATCATAAATAATTATAAATTTTAAAACACGATTAATTTAAATGTCGTTTGAATCGTTTTAATTTCTTCAATGATATTTCGTATCAGAATAATTAAAAAGATGTATCGTTATAATATTTTGTTTTTGCAGATTTTTGATAGCAACAAACATTTGAGAAATCTCGTATGATTATCGAATTTAACTAATAGACGTTAGTTTCTGATTTATTAATGTACAAATGAATAAATAATTATTAATAAAATAGCCTGATGATACAATAAGCATTTGTCTTGAATATTTTTCAATTTTATAATGAAATCGTCTTACATGCGTTACAGCATGCATTTCGTTTATGACAAATTAATTTTTTTATTATACTGAAAGCATTATCAATTCGAAAGGCTAAGTATAACTGCAAAAACTGTCATACTCATATTTTACCAATAATTATTATTACATTAATATTATATGTTCGAAAAACCTGTAATACTATAATAATAAC